CTGACTAAATACTTTTTTTCCCCACTGTATATATACACACACACATGAAGCAGGGTGAGGCTGAATGCCGTCGAAGTGAAACGAGGCCGCTGAACGAGCGTGACACATGGCTCGAAAGCAGCAGAGCTTTTATTATGCCACAGTCGACCGCTTCCGCTTCTTCCGGTCGTGCGTATGTGGGGTAAAGCAGCGCTGTTTTATCATACTAGATACATTTGAAAGTTCTGTTATAATGCTACTTTGTGCGGTCGTCACCGGTCTAATAAAATGCACATCGTATTAAAGCGTCTTTGATGTTTCCATGTTTTCTACAAAACCAAACCAGAAATCGAGGGGTTATGACGTCATTGGCAGGCGACACAATGACACTATGGACACGCTCCGTTACACTAGTTAAAATCTTATTTCTCTGGATTTAAACATTCTTCGAAACATTTGGGATAATGTAAGTACACAAGTCAGCAAAATATATAAAACTGTTCCTAGTGGTTTTCGGATATTTTAATAAAAAAATCTTACATATTGTAAGATTTATACTTTAAGTAGCCGTGTCACAGGGTAATGTAAAGTCAGATGGTCATTATCACAAAATAGACCTTAGATGAAAACAAGTTGTAAGGGTTTATTGGCTAAAACAACTGGCAAACACATGGATAAATAAATAGTCCTTATAATATGAAAAACAACTGGCCTAGCAACAATAAAATTAAAATATGAATTCGATATTCATTAAATTTTTTCAAACTATTTTTATTAGTTGTTTTCTGCTGTATCTGGCTCTTTGTGTCGGTTATCAGTTTCTTGTTCTTTGTGATGTGAGGGACATGAAAGAATCAATGCTATGTATGACTTTACATTTTCAAAACTTTATTTTAAGGTGCTTTTATTATTTTTTTTATGTTATAATACTTTCTACTACCCCAGCACACTATAAAGAGAAAAATAATAAAATCATTTCAAATGAAATACATTTCAGGATTTAAATTTATTTTTTTTTACTTAGTATTCATGTAATAGAATTGGTCATAAGTCAGTTGGTTAATATCATACACACACACACACAAAAGCCCATCAGTGTGTTCAAGTATCACCCTAAATGAGTTTATTTTGCAAAAATACTCTACATTATCCTGTCCTGCATATCAAATAAATAAAATCAAAATATAAATTGCTTGACATATATGTCTTAAAAGAATAGTTCATTACTCCACAGAGGAAAAACTGGCCTAGCAACAAGAAAATTACAATATTAATTTAGACCGTATTATTAATCTGAAAAAGAAAACGTTTTCTCTCTCATTTAAATAGGTCGACTCCTTCCAAAATCTTACGTTGCTGTATATAGCAGTGAGGATAATAACCCACATTACTTACTGGGGGGAAAAAACATTTGTTGTGGTTATTAATAACAAATGCAATTATTTATGGAGCATTTGTGGTGTTGTTGTTTTTTCTTTCTTTCATTCTACCGTTTTATAAAAGCAATAAGCCATTCAAAAAGTGTTTTTACCACGACTAAAGGGGTAATGCCTAAAAATCACCACCTCAACTGTAGCTTGTTGCGTTATTCAGTGACTGTGCGCGTGCCGTTACCCTTCAGTACTCTTCAACACAAAGCCCCCTAAAGCAGAAAGCTGCTGACATGTAAAGGCCAAACATTTCACAAAATTCAAAATGACTCATTAGAAAATCTTCCTTCGTCATTTCTCATGAGGACAGCGTACCGCAGAGGCCCAAATCACTTTCCCTGTCAGTCCTTCAGCGGACTCTCTGTCAGTTCACTCTCTCCACGGACTTACTTGTCACCCAATATCGGAGTGCCTGTGAAATCACCTTTTGTCCTTTGGTTTCTTTCCCTCGTAAGTGTCCTAATCTTTGACAGGACAGCTAAAAATAAGCACCGAACTGCACAATTAGCCATTATGGTGTCCCATAATTCCCCCCGAAATTCGCAGCATCCAGGAGTGCTCATCAACACCTTGGACGTAGCGGTCAAATTGAATAATAAATGTTTAATGCTGGTTCGGTCGCAGTCAGTCAACAGTCAAACAGTCTGTGGCTGTGGGCAGGGAGACGACGAGGTCATTAACCCTGCCATTTGCTTAACAAGCGCTAATTACAGCTGACATTTCCACAGGGCACTTCCGAGCGTCAGCTGCCTGGACTCATCAAGAGGACACGGTCATTCTTTACACACACACACACACACACACACACACACACACACACACACACACACACACACACTAAACAAATAAAAAACACACACACACACACACACACACACACACACACACACAATAATGAAATTAAAACAGAGTACCAACAGTTTAATAGAATCCAAAAAGCAAATATACAGCGGGAAACTCCCACGTTTCCTTTTTCTTTAAGGCTAAAAGCAGTGTGGAGTACAAAAGCACTGATTAAGCAAGAAGAACCCAATGACTCGAGGATTTTGGCATTTTACGCAGAGAGGAAAACACAAATAAAAGAGCTCTGGCGTTAGGACGCACTATGAAGCTGCTACAGAGACTCATTTGCATTGCAAACTGTGAACACAATCATGACGCTATGAGCCGCATAAACCACAGCACTGTTCTTTCACATCTACATTATCAAAAAATTACTCTCTCCACAAGTAAAATGACTAATACAGGGAGAAGCACCATTTCTGTTTGCAGACCCAAGGCAAATATTTGACGCTAAAATTCTAGAGTACATTTTGAATAAATCAAAAAAAGAATGAAAGCATATCTTTCAAACACAGGCCCGATGGATGAAATGGATAAATGAAAGGAGGAATAATGCCAAGCAGGGAGCCCAAAATGGGGAGAAGGAAAAAAAGCAGGAAATCCACTGGAAGGAGACAAATAACTTAAGACGTAGAGGACATGTCTATAAATAGACATATGGTGGCCGTACAGGCAGGGCGCTCACTTTTTCTTTTCTTTCTTTAAAAAAAATAAAATAAAAAAATAGATATGGAAACAAAGAAAAACCATCAAGTATACCAAACACAGCTGATGCGTTCAAAATTAAAAGGGCAGAAAAAAGTAAATAAAACACCAACACGAATTCACAAGTAAGATTCACAATATGTTAATACTCATTGTTTGTACCATATGCAGATCAAAAACCTGTGGTTTAATGTGTATTTGCATAAACAAGGTATGAATGCACATGTAGGCAATAGATGTAATACAATCAGACGTGTTTGAGAAATCCAGACTTTTTAAAACATTCATGATGAAAGATGTCCAGAAGAGTACAAGTCAACATGAAATGGCATGTGCATCCCGTTTAAGCGGAACAGAACATTCACAAACGAAACGCAGGGTTGTACTTTAATATTTTATCCATCAGGAATTGGATGATGGAATGTGAGTGTTGCATACTGTATAGGGAGAATGAATGGATTGTAAAGGACCGTGCTCCTGAAACACCATCGGATCCGACACTGCTGCAGAATCTCACCCTCCTTCCTCAAAGCCATTCTAATGGCTGAGACAGATTTATGGGTGCTCTAATAAAAACTATAGAAATTTGCTTTTAAGGTACTGTACACTACCTTTCAAAAAAATTTTTTTGAAGGAAATTAATACTTTTATGCAGCAAGGATGCATTACATTGATCAAAAGTGACAGTAAAGTCTTTATGATGTTATAAAAAAAATAAATCTTTCTTTTCATCACACAATCCTGAATACATGTATCATGGTTTCCACAAAAAAAACCAAAAAAAAAAACGTTTTCAATGTTGAAAATGCTAAGAAATTTTTCTCGAGCAGCAAATCAGCATATTCGAATGATTTCTGAAGGATCATGTGACACTGAAGCCTGGAATAATGATGCTGCAAATTCAGCTTGGCATCACAGGAATAAAATAAATTTAAAAATATATTCAAATAGTTTTGTCAATAAAATTTAACATTTAATATTTCACAATATTACTGCACTTTTTGGGCAAATAAATGCAGCCTTGGTGAGCACTAGAGACTTCCTTTAATGACAATGAAAAATCCTAGAGCACAAACTTTTGAACGGTAGTATATTTATTCTTAATCATGAAAAAAATGAAATATCATTATATTAAAAAAATTGTTCAACTAAATATTTCCCTTTCAATTAGCCTTCGGTAAGCAATCTAACAGCTTGGCATTGCATTAACTGATTAAGAAAAGCTAGCGCAAGAGATAATGTTAAATTTTTTTTGATCAGACATTGAGAAAGGGGGACAAGTCTGAACAAAACCCATATCTTGAGAGCCGGACATTGAGGCTGATGGTCAAGTTCACTCTCAAGAGCATCTTCCTGGTTAACATTATTCAATAGCCTATAACGACAGTGGAGTCATTCAGGTTCCTGGGCACCACCATCTCTC